AAGATCACAGGTGGAGGCAATAATAGTAAAGGAGATTCTGAATCAGTTGAAGGATCTCTCGTATGAACAGCTATTGTATCGATTGGTTCTTTTGGTGGAAGTGGATTATTTGTCATTTTCGGCCTCGCTATTCTCTTATCTTGATTAGAAAATGTTATATTTGCCATTTTTTTTTTTAAAGAAAAGAAAAATTTCACTCAATCTGATAGAAAAACATGCAATTGTATTAAATTTTTCTGGCCTAAAATTAAAAGTTTTTTAAGTATTTACAAAGGAAAATACAAAAATATCTCTAATGTTTAAATTAGACTAACATTAGTGAATGCTCTGCTTCGGAACTGGCTTTATAGAGAACTTCTTTTCCAGAAATGCCAGAAGGCCATATCCATTTATCCCAATTAGGAGTTTCTTTAGCATGGATTTCTGCTTCAGTTTCATCTGTTTCCAATACAGAAGTATTCAGAATTTCTTGGTCGTCAAAATAAGATTCAGTTAACCCGCAATATGACTTGAAAACATAAATTCAAAAATTTATTAGTATTAGATAATTAATTTTCATTATAAAAAAATTTTTTTAATCTTGTCTATTATATTTGGAGGGAACGAAGAGCATAGATAGTGGTGGTGAAGGAAAACTTTCCCCCGCTACTTAATTATTCACCTTATTCAGAATTGGAATTCTTGAAGGTTTAGGTTCAAGAGCATCGCTTCTAATTACATCAAGAAATTAAATATTGAGCTAGAGTGACGGCAAGTGGCAAGTGATAACCACCACCATCCTTAAAACACTTACCCAAAATATTTGTCACGACCGGTTTCTTTTTGTCTCTTGAGGCATTATTTTTTAATTTTTTTTAAAAAAATGATATTCTTATTATTGGTATACTATTTTAAACTCCTAGTCATGAAGTTAAAAAAAAACTGCCACCTAACAAGATATTAAAGGCATTAGGTAAACAAAATTCATGCAACATATATTAATATGAGTTTGATGAAAAAAAAATTTTTTCACAAGTTTGTGAAACTATCAATCTAACAGATAATAATAAGTTAAACGTCGCGGCGAGTGAGCGGCGGCACATGCACGAATTTATTTATATTTTAATATTAATATTTTAATATAATAACAAGATTTTAGCAGAGGATGCGCAGTGAGCTTTTTTGAATTTTATTAATAATATTTGTGTAATACAAAAAAAAAATCTGAGGAATATATATATTAATTAATTAATTGGCCAAGACCTCTTTGGTTTACGTTTTTCAATCTTGCATACTCCTGAATTACA